TAATATATTTTGCCCAGGTTGAGAGCCAATGTTTGCAAGTGCCTCTGTGTTGACTTCGTCACAGATTTACCTATAAATTGAAAGAATTTATTTCTTTTAATCTTAATGTGCAAGAACTGCATCATAAAAAAGATGACCATTGTCGAATTATTGTTAATATTACTTATCCTTTATTCGGACAACATGATTTAATTGGCTTTAGTTGTTGTCTACTCTCATTTAGTTTAACATTTTTGAATTAATTACCAACTAGTTGTTACTTTTTCGGTACGACTAGAAACGAAAGGAATTAAGTTTAAGTAAATATTTTATTTTTTAATCTTATTCATAGAGCTGCTGGTCGAGTATGGCAGCGACTACTTAATTCCTGAATTCTCCTGTCTTATCTTATCTATCTGTCATAATTGTGAATTCACTCGAAATTCTGGTTTCGCTTATTGGCAGAAATGCCGTCTACACAACGCTATTATCACGGCTTATCATAAAATGTTTAATAAACAACACATTTTGTACACACATCTACCGAAAACTATCGTTTGCAAGGCGCTGACAAAAAGTTTTTAGAGCTTAAGCAGCAAGTTTTCATCTAGATGGTTCTGTACACCATGGCTTAGGGGCTAAGCGGACTGCTTATCGGCTCTGAAAAGTTTCTTAGTCCAATAACTTTGTGGTTCCGGCGTTGTCCAAAAAGTTGTCACGCAATTTTTTATCATTACATTTATTTAAGCAACATATATGAAACAAAGGCCTAAGTATACCCTCACCCGTCTCACATGGGCTGTGCGAATGCTCCGTTGAGGTCGCATACGTGTGTTACAAATGTACGAAGGGCCCTCAGAGTTGGTAAAACACTGTTGCTTACCTTGCACTAAGCTGTAAAAATTTGCTTTGGTTTTTGGCTTAGTGTCGCCAGGTGTTTAGCTACACTCAAACACACAAACACACACGTATTGGCAAGAGCATACGAGTGTTGTCACCGCTGTTAAGTATGCCATACCTTTACTTGCCACACTTTGGTGTGTGTCTGTGTGGAAGGCACAGCCCCACAGATCACAGAAAAGCTGCTTAAAAGCATAAACAAAAACATTCGCAAAAAGTAAAATGCTGTTGTTTTTTTCTGTGCCGTGTCGAAAAATATTTTACACCTTTACACAAGGGTACAATTTACGGAGACTTTTAACTACCGCCCTGACGCAGTTCTTATCAGGGCGCCCAAAAGGGCAAACTCCAACACACAAGCTACAAGGTAAACATTTTAGGTAATTAAGCAAAATTACCTCTTTAAAAAAGGAGAAATATTTTAAATAAAAAACCAAGCAAAAACAAAGGGACAATAGAAGCCATAAAGTAGCTTTAGCCAAATACAGACAAGTCAAAGGACGTTTAAAAGGACGGACACGTCCTGCTAGACCGGCCAAACAGCCATGGCAACAATGTTGTGAATTGACTGCGGGGCTGTGCTGTGCTGTGCCGTGCCGTGCCGTGCTGGGCTTTGCCCACCCAAACTGAGCTCATGGCTAACCGTCTCACACCACTTTCTTGTGGCGAGGCGTTTAAACTTTGAGTTAGCCGGAAAGTGGAAAGCGTTGTCGGTTTGCTTTTAAAATGTTTGCGGTGTATTCCATTTATCAAAAAAGATATCTTGAAGTGCACACCTTATCCAACAACTGTCATTTGTCAGTCCCTCTTCGTCCTAATAGTCCTCGGACCCTGCATGAACATAGCCAAAATATAATAAAGCGTTCTTCAGCTTAGTCCTTTTATTCCTTGATTAACTGTGCCGTTAACTCCTTGCGCTTAGTAAGGTATTGGATCACTATTTGAATAAATACAAAGTTACCCCGATAGTTGCTAGTATAGCAAATAATCAGCGTTCAATAGTCTCAATGCAGCCGACTCAGGGCGATAAATTCGAACTCAAATGAGCTAATCTGATATAAGAATACGATAGAAGCAAGCTTTCGCCACATTTGTATTATTGAAAGTAGTTCAATTATTTTAATGTCACTTAATTTGAAGTAAAGTTATTTAAATACCGTCATGATTACGAACTAATTTATATTTTTTCATTGGGAGTCTTAATCTTTCCTTGGCTTTATTTCCTATTTTGAGCCTCGAGTTTGCTTGGCTGAACTTAACTTGTATAGGAAATAGTTTTTGTTATGCTGGGACTAATTAAATAAAATTTCCAATTATGAAAACCAGATTATGATCTTAGCTAACGAATTTTAACCTAGTTAACAATTACTGAGACTGTAATTTGTTAAACTTATTCTAATGCAATGACTACAAGGCCCGAAGGACAGAGGCGTACAAGATGCCAGAAATCAGCCAGTGCCCCGCACATGTCACGCTCATGAAGCAGAGGAGACAAGACGTTTACCGCTCTTTTGACGCTGTGCTCTTGTGCTAATAAAATCAAAACTGATTACCACATCTTCTTCAGCGGGCATGTCGTTCCATACGACATGCGGAATCGAAGCATGCATATCATATTACTCATACGCCACGTTATACAATTTACTTAGAACGAGCGGAATGAGCTGAAATGTTGACTGCCCCGACATGGGAACGGGCAGATGAAGACAAGTAGATGTCATCCGTGTAAAGCACGTATACGTATAAGAGGGTAGGAGTGTATGAGTGATGGGTTGGGTTGGGTAGGGTTGGGTAGGGTTGCTGTGCATGTCTGTACCTATGTCTGTATGTGTGCTTTTATGGGTGCGCACAATGGCTGTAAAGGCGAAATAACAAGGAAGGCAAAGCAACAGCAGAACAACTAATTGAGTGGCTCTTCGTACGTGTCGCACTATGTCGGAGTGCAACTGCGCCAGCCAGCGAAAGCGAAAGATAAAACGTTTTGCAATAGCGCTATAATTTAATCAAATTTGTCACGCTTGCAATTGAGCGCCTCCCAGGAGCCACAGATACAGGCACGGATATATATACAGACACTGCCACAGGCAGAGTCATCGCCAGCATCGTTCTATTGTGCGGCACGAGAACAGTGCGAGTATACGAGGTAGTTGTCGCAAAGCTTTCGCCTGAACAATTTATGAATGGGCGCTTTGAGTCAAAGATCCAACTACTGCGGCGTCTGAGGTGTGTCAGTCTAGTAAGCAGAAAACGTTCGCGTTCTCCCATGCAAATCAAATTTAAAATGCGTTTAAGGTTCGTAAACTAACTCTGACAATGAGTGAATCAGCCAGCCTGCCTCGGTCAAATCCCCTTCTATCTTGATATTACAACAAAATATGCAAGGCTATTGTTATACTCATCCACGAAGTGAAAGAATATATTAGTTTTGTGAAATGTCCCATAATTCTGATGTCAGAAACTCTATTAGTTAAGTGCTAGAGTTCAAGATCGAAAAGATGTGATGAATATATATATATATGCGCCCAATGGGGCGTGGTAATTCGGATAGAGCTTTATTTTCTACAGTTTTGAACGAGTGTTATGCAGTCGGTAGAGCCTGACTGCAATATTCCTACGTGTGCTTGCATTGTAGTTGTCGACATTGTCATTGGTCAGTGGGCATGAATCGCTATAGACCTTTGATACCCTATAAGTGCCACGAGCAACGTCCACGGACAAACAAACAATGTTCTAGCAGACATCCCCAGTCGAGGCTAAGGGGTGACAATGACGGCGTCATGACTGGGTGGCATGGCCGAGCGTAGTGCCAATAACTAGATGGGGATGATGAAAGTGCTGGTAGCTTAAATGACATTACCGCTTACTGGGCCTGGCTAAGTACATTTTATTAAGGCATAAAAAATTGAAATCGCTTTAATGACCTCTTTAACCACATCATTAATTTAGCCTTCACAATTTTATAAATTATTTCTGTATTTTTATTGTCAGTCCGACATACATAGTTATTTGCCCTGAGCCCATTGAAAATGGGAGCTTCAATATTTTTGGACAAAACATGGAGAACATTTTACTTTTATATCGATTTACATATTATTTCACATATACGACATACAATGCTTCATACTGAGGTATTCAAAATTCACTTCAGCGGATCGTCTACTTTCCTCCATTCGAAAAAGTAAAATATAAGTCCAATCTTATAAGATCTTGTGGAATTGGTTGAAAATATTGATTTATGGAAAGCATGAATGAAAATTCATACAGACTCTTAGAAAAATGTTTCTAATGCTTAATAAATTTTACATACAATAGACTTCGAGAATTTATTACATTTTATAAATTCTCGAAATCTATTTATTTATGCATTGGACCCAGTAAATGTGTGTGACTAATTTTTATACTCGTTCACAATCTGAAGGGGGTATATAAGCTTTATGTAATGTGTGTCTTGCTGTCCGTCCTTCCGTTTTTTTGCGTATTTTGGAAAGTTAATTAGTGGGTAACTGTACCTTTCATAGTTTTCGAGGCAGTTTTTAGCATGTTAGTTATAGATTGTCAACAGATAAAGAAACTCGAATCGGCACTGTATTAGTCCTAGAGACTCGTGCAATTTTGAATATATTAATGAATGTATAGACAGCCCCATATTTCTTTCACAGTATTATAAGTTGAAATATTGGTAATTGAGTTGTGTGTTGATCTTCTCTATATTTTTCACAAGCAAATTTTGTGAACCCATCTTTAGACTGATCAAAAATTATAAAATCACTCTCACTGGATGCGTGGCAAATTGGAACTGTATCTTAGAACTGTATCTTAAAAAGTTTTTATCTAGAAGCTTAAAATTGAACAACTGAGCTACTGTTGACATTTGTAAGTCAGGCAATCCTCACTGCTGTCTATATCAACCATATACTCCATTGGGCAGAGCAGATTGCTTGGTTTGCTTGGAGCAAACCATTAGGAATCTTATTTAATGAGCATATTCACTCTGAATATAAAGAACAATTCTTTTCCAAATTGGTACTATTTGGATTATTAAAACTACTAAAATATTCCAATCAAGTTGCACTTTTCCTTTAAATTAAAAACTTATTTATTTTTAATTTCTTTTTTTCCAGGCAATAAAAGGAATAATGCTCAAGCTGTTCGTGTTGCCAATAATAACGATATGTCTATTATTAACGAACGTTAACTCAGGTGTGCCAATTGGTAAGTCAATTTAATAAATTATAAATTGGGCCAATTGTCCAGCCATGTCAACTTGCAATCAACTATGATTTAGGAACTGGTGGACCATCGCTGATATTCGAAAACAAAGACGCGCTGTTAACCTGCGTGGTCTCTGAAAACTCAGGCAACAATACAGTAATATGGAAGAAGGGTGAGGAGATCTTGACGGCTGGAACGGTGCGTGTTACCAAGGATAATCGTGTTAGAGTTTTACATGATGAGAGTGAGTACAGATGAAATTAAATAAAATGAAATCAATTAGCAGAGCGAAATTCCTTGTACCCAGATCCAAGGGGGAGTGATTCGAACGTGGGCGGGGAAGTTTGGGTGTTACTGATAAAAGGCTTAAAGACAATTGATTCGGGTGCCTACATTTGTGAGTTGAACTCCGATCCCGTATTGCGCAGTATTCACATATTGACAGGTAAGTTGTCTGGGTTATAGAACCACTCAGCCCATACTAATTGGAATTCAGTTAAGGAGCTGTCAACTATACCGGGCTTGCAGGTCAATGTGACAGATCCAGTTGCCTCTGAATCTACTGATGTTTTTCTTTTGCCACCGCCCCTCAACGCGCAGGACAACCGTAGCTTTTGGCGCACAAGTCAATCCCCCCCTCAGCTAACTCATGATTTTACCGAGTGCTGTGAACATGCGAATGTCTCTACTCAGTGTATGGGCTTTTGCAACGTTCACAACATATTGGATGGCACAACAGGCATCGATCCCGAGGCTTGCGAAAAGGACTTTCCGAGCATAGTCAGATGCATGGCCGATGGCCGTAACCATGTGCCATGTTGTGTGGAGAAGCAAATACCGGATCTGTGCCAAGATATGTGTCGTGGTGAATATACACCATTTACAGACAAATTGAAGACACGCGTTTCGTGTGTGCAGCACACCTTGACTGGTCTTCAGTGCATTCTTAAGGGTATTCAGTTGATACCCAGTACACCGACGCTAGTCTCAATAGATAATGTGAGCGAAACAAGTGTAAACATAAGCTGGTCTCCACCACAAAAGCTAAGCGACCAAGTCTCATATTATACTGTGAACCTGACAGTCTTGCATAGCTTCGACGAAGATGAGCTGAGCGGTGAGGTTAAGCATCAAATTAAAGATGCTCCCGATGCGGAGCAGTTGATGTTGTACAATGTCACTGCCAATCAAACATTCCTTTCGCTCGACAAGCTCACCCCCCTCACTATGTATGCTGTTATAGTGACGGCCGTCAACGAGTTTGGCACTAGCTTGCCAAATGAGCGTCTTCGTTTTTTCACACACACCAGCGCATCAGTGGCTGAGTCCCAGGCGGGCAGCCCGGACAAGCAGGTGATGCCCACCTTACCCGACATACGCAGCTGTTGCGAATCGAGCGGGATGACACATCGCTTGTGCATGGACAAGATGTGCGATCCGCAGAAAACGGACTTGGCTACGCTGCCAGACCTAATGGTTTGTGCGCCATGGTCGAACATCACCTTCAGTTGCTTGGCCAACAACATTGATCATACGCCCTGTTGCAGGGCCCGTGGCATACCCGCTGCATGCTTTCCGATATGTGCTGGGAAGCTGACATCGCTGGATTTCAGTTTGTTTAAGTAAGTGAGAAGAAAGTTAGTTTTCTATTGGATTTATGCATATATAATCCGTTTTACTATGGCACAGATGTCTGCGCTTTATGTCTGAGTATAGCAGCTGTCTATATCAAGGCTATGGTGTGCTGGCTGATCCTCCATCTAAGCTGCGTACAGTTGCAAAAACAGATAATTTTGTCATTTTGGATTGGAATAATCCGAAGCGTCTCGGCGACACTGTAAACACTTATCACGTCAAGTTCCGACGTCTCGGCGTTGGCGATGACTATCTGACTGTGGAAAAGGCATGTATAATTGGGGCTACTTGCCGGATTGGTGAACTAATTTAATTAACTTTGCAGCGCCAGCCGCCACTCATTCTTGAAGGCCTGGAGCCCGACATCTATTACGAGTTCTATGTGGTATCAATTAATGCGTACGGAAAAAGCGAGCCCTCTCCACGTCTTATTACTCGGACACTCCCAGCTGAGCTGGTCACAGCTCCTGTTGCCAAATACAACATGTCGACGTGCTGCAAAGCTTCAGGACTACTGCCACAATGTGTCCCTCTTTGTTCGTACAACATACGGCTGTCAGACATTGAAAATCTCGGTCCGGCATGCCGTGCCCAAATGCGTGAGTAGCATCCAAGCCCGCTTTTAATGACGGCCACACATACATATGTAGCTAGCAAACACTAATTAGTGTCAGTCCTGGATCCTGATTAATCAACTCGCAATTGGCTAATCCTCTTAGGATTTCACTGACTTGATTCATTTCAATTGCTTGGTCTTTTTAGTGTCTAATACTGTATATATTGTTTTATTACCATCAACTTTTTTAAGGCGATCATGCTTTATCTGCAATTTGTTTGAGCCTGATTTTAAACATTGTTGAAACCAAATTTATATTTAGGGTCGAACTTGCTTTAATTATTCAGGCAATTCACATCTTGTGAAACGTTGGAAATAAGACTAAATAAAAGTTGAGAGACTCTCAAAACTTGTTTAAATTTTAACCACTTAAAAAAGGTATTGAAATAATGTTATTATATATATATATTCGTATAAATATTTATCATGTATTTATGCATATATTGTTCAATGTGTCGTCCTTAACTAATAATGCTTGAAATTGGAGAAAACCTAACAAGAACTAGAAACGCTGCATAGCAGTGTTAATATAGCAGTAAAGATCTATAGTATTTTTTATCAATGTAAATTAATTGCTACATTTAGGAGAGTCGTATTGAACATTAAACTGAATTAGTTACTGCTCGGTTGGCTGGCTAATAGACCTAAATCGGCAAATAAACAAGACCGGTTGCAATAGCAAATTTCGTCATTCATCGTCGCGTTGTTAAGTATCCAAATTATGCAATTATCAAATTGATAACGCCCTCGCTAAAAGTGCAGCGTTTTAATTACAATATATCAAAGACAAATGCTGCAAACTCATGCAAATGTGGCCCTTATTAGCTTCTCATTGATTATTCGCAGCTATACTGGCACGCTGTGCAGCCGGCGGACGTGACCACAGCCCTTGCTGTAGTAGACGCAGCGTTATAAACGCATGCATGCCACTTTGCCGCGGCGTCATGCCACTGGCGCTGACCACCAAATCGACAACAGGAGCATCAGCATCAGGAGCTGGCGCTGCCATCGGCAGCATGTCCTCGTCAACCTCCTCTACGTGGGCAAGCAATATGCCCGACTGCTTGTCATACGCTGGTAACATTTTGCAATGCTTTGAGGAAGGTGAGTAGAAAGTCCTCGCAGTCAGCTGCGCCCCTGTCATGGCGTGTCGGGGCAGGTTAAGCATTCGCACTGTTGCACACTACTCTGTGTGTGCTAAATTAAGTATTTGATCAATGCGTTGGCTTAACCCCCAAAATGGCAGACAAAACCAATATTGGCCAATTAAATTTGCGTTGAAACAACTGACTGATTTCCAGGCACCAATAACATACCAGGGCCACCAGAAGACGTCCATGCAACATCAATTACCAGCAGAAGCATTAGTATAGCCTGGACTCCACCCAATTTGGACAGAACAACTCCTTATCAAAGCGACACGATAACTGGCGATGAACTAGAAGCTGCCAGCAGCGTTGTGGCTGGTGATGTTACAACAGCTGCTGATACCATGCATTTACAGCAACCATCGAGCTCCACTACTGCGACCGACGCTGCGCACGATGCTAATGATGCCATTGAATTCGTAGTTCAGTATGGCCGAGTCAATAACATGACCATCTACGAGACTGTTGCCAAATTGGAAAATGTGAGTTTAAGTATATAAATAGTAGCTCAAGTTGATCAAACGAGTTTTTATACCCTGATCCCATTAATTTTATCAAGACTGATGTTGTACTGTCTATTAGCTAGTTAGATATACCCTGTGCTCAGTGCTTTTATTTGTTGAGGAATAGAGGAGTTCGAAAAAAGAGAGTCAGACGAAAAATGAATCTTGCTTGACAACATGAATTGACAATTTCTAATAAAGCCAATATCTTAAGTTCTTCCAATGTCTAGCCTGCTCTGGTTATTGAGAACATTTAAATAGACGGACAGACTCAGCTACAGGAAGCGCAACTCCTGCTTTGCTTACACCTTTCATAATACAATTAGCATATAACATTTTTTCATTATCAAAGTAGGAACATTGATGTTGGGTAAGGCCGACTGATTGAGGCTATACCTCGTATTAGAGCAGCTCATCATGGCTTGATTCCAAATTTGATATAATAAATATAATACCCGATTGTCTACGAACTTTGAATCTTAATTACACTCACATTAGCAAAATCAGACTCAAGCCATTATGAAATGCTAAGTTTAATATTGAAAGCGTGTGCTGCGCTTATTTGATCACTTTGTGCTGAATGTATATATAACTATTCGAGAACACCGTTGGCTATCTAGACACTTACAGGCACGTGCTGGGGGATAGTCCGGCCGAAGGGGGAGTTTGGCTCATAACTGTCATATGGATCGGGCACGTGACCATAAACTAGTCAAAATAGTTTCCACCCAGCACTGGCAAGCAAACAATGGAGCCAGAGTTGGCAAAATATACATATAAATTGCCATTGGCATTGTTGCAGCTATTGACTATTGTTGTCACACATCAAAGCTCAGCGGCAGTGCCACCTGCGCCTGCAGCAGCAGCCATGGCCATCAACAGAGTTATTGGCCCCAAAAAACAGCAAATGCTAAAAAATACAAAAACAATTGGCAAATGTTTGTCGCGTGTTGATGATGTTGTTGTTGTTTTTGTTGTTTACGATGTTGTTGTTGTTGTTGTTATAACTGCTGCTGTTGATGCGCGCAAAATGTGTTCAATGTGGGCTGGCCCCAGTGGCGGCCTGTCGACGGCGACCTGCTCAGAATGCAAGCACCCAGCACCCAGCACGCAGCACCAAGCACCAAGCACATTGCACCCAACACCCAGCACACAGCACAGAGCATCACACACCCTCCGAATCGATATTGGAGAAGCTCTTTACAGCGTGCAGCTGCTGTCAGCATTAGTTGTCCGACGTTCCTAACGTATACCCTTGCAGATTGTATTATAATTTTGCCATTAAGTGTGGCACGCACGGAAGTAGATGTACTGTCTGATCCTATGGATATAGCCATATCTGTCTGTTTGTATACAAGGAGTTTCCAATGCACTGGGTTCGACATTAATTTATTATGGAATAATTTGTTTGCATATGATCTTGTATATAAACCAAAATGTACATACTTATCCATCTGAGATATGAAACAACACCTAAGAATCATGTTTACTTAAAATCGAAACCAGCGGGCAACAAATAATTAATGCTTAAATATGTAATTGGCTTTGTTAAACTTATAAGAGCTTGCTTATTGTTGATAAATTTTTCGAGACCCAATACAAATTACTCAACCGTATCATTCTTCAGTTTGGGAACATAATAAGACTTGTTGGAAATATAATTATAACTAAAATATTTGCAAGGGTATTTAGTCTTCAAAGTGCCGAGGTTAAGCGTTTTATCTTGTTTTGCCTTCAGTTCAAAATTCATTCACCTGCTCACTTTGGTTTTGTTAGCTTGGTCGAGAGAACGCAGCTGCTGCGAAGCTGTTGGCTTAGCTTATTTTATTTTTTACTCTGCCCGCCTGATGTCAATTGGCTTAAATGTGCCCCGTGCTTCGAGCTTTCATTATTTCATATGGATATATATTATATATATCTATATATCTATATATATATATATATATATATATATATATATATATATATATATATATATATATATTATATATATATTATATATATATAAATATATATATGTATATACATACATTTATATATATATAGTTATTTGGCTGTTGCATCTGAAACTCATTGTGAGGTCAAGAGTATTTTTGTCACGTGGAGCTGGCATGTGGCCTCGTCTATTGCCATAATAAACTTAATTGATTAAGAATGTGGCTGACATATTGTTAATCACAATAAAAATGTATTAAAATGAGAAAAAAGAGTTCATCAGGATCTGTTGTAGACATAGTATCTATTCTTATAAGCGTATTAACTTCACTCTTTTCCATTTCTTTTTCTAATAAAGAAATTTTATTTTGTTGATATCTGTGAAAGTTTAGACAAGGATAATGCACAATATATTTATTTGAAGTTAAAAGAGTTGTTATAGAAGAACATGGTAGGGCTGCTGACTTTTGATGAATTATTTCTTTAACAATTCGCTACGAAATAGGTTCGTAGTCATTCGAATTTAAATTTGTTGAGCAGCCTTGGGTAGTAAAATTGGACATTTGCAAACTGGAACACAAAGAATTAGTTATCTGGGCTGATGCACCCTAATGGGTAGGTTGATGAACTTGACTTTTGTGAGCGCAACTTTTCCAATGATTTTTACTGCCGCTGTCGACAACATGTCGGTCTGTTTGTTTGTTATCAAAAACACCCTAAATGATGACCATAAAAACTTTTTAGTATGCATGTATAAGGGAAATGATAACATTCCTGCGCAGTCTACAGTTTACCAATTAAAATACATTTAAATTCCTCTATAGTTCTGCACTGACCTAAGAGATGGGAGACGGATTGTGGACGACGGAGCGAGGAAGAAGTAACATCAATTGTGCTTCAAGCTTGCCTCTTTGGAGCAGTCGAAAATGAGCATCTTGGGACGTAGTTTTATGACTAAAAGTTTGTAGTCTCAATGTTCTTTGAATATTTATTTGCCATATCACTTGGTAACTGCTTCATGGAATAGAGTCTTCAAGGGTTTTGTGCCGTTGGCTAATAGCTCACGTACTCGTGTTCACATTAATTATTCACAGGGGCATCGCTCGCTCAACTAACCTAATATTGTCACTTAGGACTCATTTTGATTGTGGGGTCTCACAATCATTGCTCGATAGATATACAATAAGTGTTTTTTAGGGACAACAATTTTATCAGGCGGCGTTTAGCATCATTTCCTTACCTATGGACATTAGGCGGGAATGCAAACAATACAACAAGTTCAAGTGTTTTCAGGCAGCTACATACTTTGTTTTGGTGTTCATAATTACGTTAATCAATTTGCTCTGAATTGTCTCCAAAACTTCTATGGAATTCCCTTATTAAAAATAAGTTCAGGAATTTGAAAGCAACAACAAATGTTAAAAATGAAAATAACAAAGTTTCAACTATTATGAACGTTAAATCTTCAGCTCATGAGACGTTGAATAATACATTCTTTAAGATATAAGGAATGTTATGCATATACTTTGACAACAATAATATGTATATACAAATTAGACAAATAATTTTCTATAAATACAAAAGAGGGGTGCGATATCTGAAACCTAACTGTGACACGTAAAGAGATATCATATGATAAATTATTTGTTAGTCAAGTGCCTGGCATTGGCTTACTTACTGAAATGTCAATGTCTCGTGCGGAGCGAACGTAGATTAAATCGTACAAATGTGTGTAACTTGTAAAATATTAAAGCCAGCGCGTGAGTACAGAATAGCAAAGAAGACGTCACTCACAATACAGAAGAAAGAATTACTATTTGCGAGCTTACCTAAACTAACTTGACTGTACAAAAGTGCATGGAAGACGTGTATTTAATTTTAGTAAATAGTAAATTTATCATAGTTCACTATATTATGGCTGAGTTTGGTGAAAAAGTTTTGAGAAATGAAAAAACCTTGTTCATTCCAACCCTTTGTCCATAAAGCTGCATTTCAACATAGTCCGATGCCGATTAGATTTTGGTAATGTAAATGGCAAATTCTGATCCAAATTTGTAATGCAGAAGTATGTCAGGCTCATGATGATTACCTAGATCAAAGGGACTAGTTCTCACTGGATATTTCGATTTAGCTGCGGTCGATAAACGTTCAAGCTGTAGCCGCAGATTAGCCAACTATTTTGAATGTCAGCCGAATGACAATGCTGGATATCGCATTACATCACACGGAGTTTAGAGTGCCGTAAATATACATGTATACAAACAAGTATGATATAGCTGTCAATTTTGGCGATGGCTTTTGAAACAATCTGACGCCAGATGCAAATGGCCATGGCAATGCCATCGTAACGCGCTGTCAGCTGCGTTGATGTCGGCTGGCGGTGTCATTTTGTGGCTAAATACCGCAATTTGCGCTACTTTGCAGCAATTACAAAAACTGCTAAATACGACAACATGTCTCTGAGCGAGATGAAGCCCAGCCACAGCCACAGCCACAGCCACAGTCACAGTTGTAGTCGTAGGCGCCGTTGTGGCACGGCTGCCATAATACACTGTGCAAATTATGTGTCTCGTTTTTGTGCTGTTTTCGTAAATAGAACAATGATATATGGGCTGTGTTAGAGCCTACGGATGGCAAGCATATCTCTATGTAATTAGACATTTTATCTATAACTCAAATACATAATTCTGACAGTTGTATATGCAACCAGTTGTTGCTTCAGGATGTGTAAATCTATCATGAAAATGAACGCTTCTTATATGTAATTTTTATTTGAGTCAATTGTACAATAGTATAAAGTATTTGTTATTTAAGCAATCTCGACATGCCGTCGTCATTCCATTTTTGAACATGTAAGTGACGTTATTTTACTCTTAGGAATTGACCACCAACGAGACTAGCATAGATCTGACCAACTTGGAAGAAAATGCCTTATACCGCATTATGGTTGTGGCGCGTGGAAAATTTGGTACATCGCTGCCGGCATCGATGCTGCTTATAAATACGACGGCCTCTGGCGAAAAAGGTAAGTGGCTGCGATCTATGCATTCGGGGTCAACTCACACTTGGACTGTCAATGTCGACAGATTTGCTGAGCTGGTTTGGCTTGGTTTGAATAGTTAGTTAGTTAGTTACTGCACGCATATGGCATGTGGCGTATGGCATATTGCAAATTGAATTTACTCCCAATTGATGCATCGGATTGTGTCTTCGTAGCTCTATATCCCAATGATACATGGGGCGCACCATCTCCGCCCCACTCACTGACAGTGCTTACTCACAGCGCGACCTGGATGCAATTAACCTGGCAGCCTTCTGAGTACTCGCATCCACATGAACGCATCACGTACAGGTGAGCTAAAGTCGTGGTGAGGTTATTGACGAGGCGTGTATGCATTATGTGTTACTAAACCCGATTATTGCAGAGTCTACCATAAAACGATGAACTTTGTTGACTTTACCAAAATCGAAACGAAATTGGCCTGGCTGCGAATAACAAATCTAAAGCCAAGCTCCCAACATGTGCTTTATGTGGAGGCGGTGGGCGAGCGGGCTACCTCGCTGCCCTCAGAGACTCTTGTGGCGTGGACAGATCCGGCGCTGCCCGCCTTTGTGGATGTAATTGTTGCGTTGCTTATGCTAAAGACAGCAAAATGACTTCATATCGTTTCCTTTAGCCCCCAACTGTACATCCGGCCGACAACATACCTGAGGGTGGATCGATGACAATTCTCTGTCTGGCTCTGGGTAACCCAGCTCCCACCATATCGCTGTACGTAGGGGGCCACTTAGTGCGTCAAGACACGTCTCGACATATGGTGACAGTCATACATAATGTCTCCGCGGATATGGAACACGTTTCCTGTTACGCGGACAACGGCTATGGTGTGCCCATGCAGGCCACCCGACGCGTTAATATTTGCTGTAAGTTCGAACTTTATATTTGAAATTGATTAAGCTATAATCGAGGTTGGCATTCCGTAGATCCACCCAAGATTCAGGCGGCTGGCATAACTGTCGCTTCTATTGGGGACGAGGTTGAACTGCGTTGCATGGTTGACTCGAAGCCCACGCCCAAGACCATATTCTGGCGCGATCATGACGGCCGCATACCCGTGCCACAGGGTGGAAACTACTTTGTGTCGGTCACAAATGTGTCAACAATTTATACGATGGTACTGCGCATCAGCAAGCTGCAAGCGAACGATGTGGGCGACTATTTCTGCCATGCAGATAATCCATTTGGATCCTCCACAACGCCAGTGTCGGTGCGAATACGCAGTACTCCCAGCCTTAATCGCAACGTGTCACAATGCTGTTCCGAACAAAATGTTTCCTTGCCCTGTCGAGATGCGTGCACCTACTACGTGGACTTTGACGCCATAGCCAACCGACCCGAATGCATCGTCGACTTCGACAAGCTGATGAAGTGTGCGGCCGATGGGTCGGATCACAGATCCTGCTGTGCAGATGAGCAGGTGCCTCGTAAATGTTTGAACTGGTGCCGTGGTGAATCTGTGCGCTCGAAGGAAATCTGCAGTCTACAGTATTCCAGGACCATCATTGGATGCTTTGAAAAGAATCGTGATCGACTACCAGGACCACCAGAGAATATTGTAGTGAGTGTGCTGTCGGACAACGAGGTGAACATTAAGTAAGTGGCTGCCATGAGCGCCAAATGGCAAGTTTCTTCATTTCATTAAAAGCTATCAAATTTAATATCTTAACTATGTCCGGCCAGCAAACCGAAAATACTTTTTCATTGCCTCAGCCGGAAGTGAACTCATCCATTTTGCTCACAAGCCAATACATTCATTACCCTCATGCCCATCTGGCATCTGTGGATGTGAGAGGTCGCAAGTCCGTGCGTGGATGCTGTTGCTTCTGCTGACTGCACTAATAGACCGCAAAATCCATTAAAGCTGAGATTTTTATCTCACTTTAATACACTTAGTCAACGTCAAAGGCTTCGCACACAGTCTGAAGTCGGTTCGTGTGCGCAGCGGTTGGTGGGTGGATGCTTATGGGTGGGCTATGGGCTATGGGCTATGGGCTATGCTCGATGCCAGTCCGCATTAAATTTATTAAAATTCCAGTCAAGTTTTGCGGCTGCAACAATATTACTACTACTCATAATATGGCGCCATGCACACGGTCTGAAAACTATTTCATTACAGATGGGATGCTCCAACAAAGAATCCAAATGCCGTCGACGGCTATAGAATATATTACCATGAGGCCGCCGTGCTGCCGCCATCGTCGGCGGCGCAGCCAAACGAATCTTCGATGGAGCCTGGCCTGGATACAGTAGCCTCCATGAATAATGCAACAAGTTTAGGCAACAGCAATGGCAACAACAACAACTACAACAACAATATGGCAATAGCAGGCGCTGTGGAAATTCAACGCATCGACGTAAAGGACACAACAATAAGCATTAATGGTCTGAAGAAGGACGTGCTCTATGAGCTGGTGGTAAAAGCTGGCAATACATACGGTGGGTGAATCGACTGTTCGCTGTGTATGTGTCTAGGCTTAATTTGCAGACTTGTTTTCCCAGGTGCCAGTGTACTTACCGATCCGATTAGATTCACACTGGGTGAACAGCAGGTGACCTCGGCGACCAGCAGCTACTCGAGCGCCGTGGGCACCATAAGCGGCATTGTAGCAAGCATTTTGGCCATCCTCTTAGCGGTGGCCGCCATTGTGTTCTATCGACGACATCGCGGCCATAATGGCAAGGCAGTCAACGGCAATGTTGCCTTCGAGAATCCCACATACACACGTGGGTTGGAGCAGGTACAGGTGTGTATAAAGCCTATTAACTATACCTATAATCTTATCATAAGCCAGCCGGAAAGACTGTAAATCGGTGTATTGCATATAGTTATACTTATGTTATAACGACAACGTGTCTCTTTCTGCTTTTGTTGTTTTCAATTGCAAACTATACACACGCACACACGCAAATACTAAAGTTACCAACTGTGACGTCGGCCATCACAACAACACAAAATGGAAACAATCACACGCATGGCAGCAACAGCAACAGCAACGGCAACAGCGGCCACTGCAGCACCAGCAGCGGTGTCGGCACAAATAATGGCAATCACAATGGCATTGCAGCCACAATGACGACGTCCACATCCACGGCGCTTGATACGGGGAGCATAGTGAATGGGAGCAGGCAGCAGCAGAAACAGCTGCGAAATGGCCGCAGTGTCACTGATGCGGCCCATCATTTTCACAACCCGCTTAGTAATACGCAGTGCAATGAAGTAAATCCCTCGATTTATGAAGAGCTCAAACTCGGGCAAGAAGGTGCTGGATTTAAGAAACTTGTGTCATAAATGACACAGCACACACTCACATAAATGAGAAGCGCTAACAGCGCCTACAAGATCCGAAACTGAAACACCAACATCTCAAGTTTAGCTAGTTAACTTACATATATGTGCATGTGTATGCGCATGTATCTATGTACCTATCTACTTATGTACATATTCACATTCGTATATACATGCTACAATGTAGTCCGTACAATCGCAAAATGTAGACATAGGCCCGTGTAAACAGCGCGAAGCGCAACCCCAGCGAACACATACACACACAGATACGCACATTGCTTATAGATAGATATACACAAACACACACACACGCACACACACACACACATGCGCACATACTCAAACACACGCTGGCATACTTTCAGTATGCACTGCGAAAGATAAATGGGTAATATTGCGTAAAAATGATTGCTAAGATTTGGTTAGTGTAAAGTAATAAATTTGTAGTATGTAACTGTGATTGAAAATTATGTAAAATAAATTTAATTGGTAACAGAACTAAGCTACTTTTGTAACCTATAAACTGTTTTTGTTTTTGTAACCAATCGTTGCTTGGTAGATAGAAAAAAAGGAAACCCACTTTTGGCACTTCTTTGTTCCATGTAATTTAAAGTGAGCAGCAAGTATTTCTGTATAATAAAAGTATTATAATATCAAAACTGTCTGATGATGCTAAATAAGGGCACTACGTAATACACACTTACAAATGTTTACGTAATACAAATATGTACACATAAATGTATATTCATATCTAAATATATCTAAGTACGTGTATCACCTAGTATCCTGGCTGACATTAGAAAGCATAGCCCTTGCTTCATGTTGAGCTTAGTTATTCAAATATTTGAGTAAAAGATATGATATGCCCTAGGACGCTATGATCCTATGCAGATATGGATCAGGTGCTCATTTTCATACAAGAGCAGGTAAGTGTTACAAGCGACTCCCACAAAGATTATCATAATTGAGTTATGCATACAACACCTTGGCAACACTTTAGTTTTATACACCCTTTTCTTTGCTCTCGTACATAGCTTAAGTGGGCTGTGGGATCCGTCGAAAAAGGAGTACATCCATATTTATATCCAATAGTCTTGTGAAAGCCGCTTGCTTTATACTTTTATGTTATGCTTGGCCTCAATACGCTTCTAACTAGCTGAAGCTGTTTTGGCCGAAGTCCTTAGCCTCATCAAAAGCTGCTCTCTGCTCTTTGCTTCTTGTTTGTTTGTTTGTTTGTGCCCTTTTACACTTCCGTTTCCACCTCTAGAATGCTTACACATGGCAAAAGCTCTGAATAAATGCCGCTTGAATTATGCAAAGCATTTAAGTGCCGGTGAAGGCATTTTTGTATCTCCTGCATGTACTATTTACATTCAAAAAGAGCATATTGCTTTGAAGCTTTTAAGACATTCCACGGTCGATTCCTTTTCTCGTCAGCTTTAAGGCGTTATTGAAACAAGAGACTTGTATTTTGGAAAATACACGTGTGTAGTCAATTGTTTAAAAATATATAGTATGCTTATTTAGAGCTAGAGTCTTAAGGTTTTGAAGTTATGTTACTTACAGTTAAGACCCTCGCTTAGAATTTACCAAAAAAATTCAAAATCGGAAAAGCTATATTTTGTTTCGCAGCCTTAGAGCTAAAATCCGCAAATTTATTCGGGTGGACAACAATAGATCTACAAGTCATATTAACCGCATATTGGAGCTCAATATATCCAAAAACAAATTTAATTGCTGTTGTTCATTATGCTGCTGTTGCTGGATTTAGATGAGCACCTAAACATTTAGGATCAATAATGCCTAATAAATACAACAAGGCTTCAATCGTTTTTAACGAATATAACAAAGTCCAATTCCCTAGTGAAAAAAAAAGCAAAAAACATTTTGTAATCAGTAATAACTATGTTTCTTCATTGATTTAATTTTGATTACCTTTAGCATGTGCTTTTATCTAATTTATGCTAATTAAGCTGCAGTGGTAACTCCCCTAATCAATCGGGATATCATTATTTTTTAATGTGCCATCCAATGGAGTTACAAGTTACACCATTAGAGTGTGAACAACGAGTAAGAGTGCTCTAGTCGAGACTGCTCGACTAGTAGATACCCTGCATCCTCGGAAGAGGTTATACTCCAATCCAATTCTACATGAATAACAAATAACATATATACACAAATATCCAAATGAACGCATAAGCACGCGCTCTGGTTACAGCGCAGTTAACGCAGCGACTGCGCTTGGCCTGCTGTAGGGACTATACTATGGGAATTTGTTTGTTGAATTCCTTTTTGAAGTATGTTTTTTATGAATTTGCTGGACGGGGCGGTATCCCAAATCCAAAATATGCATAATCCTTGTATTCATTCCAGGAACCTACACGCTCAATCTAAAGTCTCCAACATTAAAAAACAAATCCAAATAACCGATTTATATCGATAATACGGATATGGAATCAGGTATAGAAAAAGAGGTAAACTTGTACCGCATATACACAAGTATACAATTCAAATTTCGAGCCGTCGAGTCAAGTCGTCAAGAAGTGAAGTCGTCCTGCTAGCTAACTGGTTTTGTCAATCGGCGAAAGGTTTTGTTTAATAACATTTGTGTTATTTAACGGATTTGAATCAAGTCAGAGAATATGATTTACATATTCTATTTAATATATGGCAATCCAAATTTTGTTTATTTAGAGCCAGTAATAATCATAAACAAAGTAGCTAAGTGCAAAATGAAGTGTCTAAGTTCAAAGATGTACAAAATATAATTTAATAATTGCATTTTGATAACGGTTTTCGATAACATTAATACGAGAATAGTTATTATTTATGTGATCCAAAAAAGTTTTTAAATCTTGTGCGTTATGAGACCGACGCGGACTTTATGAGGTCTGCCACGCCTCTTTTAGCCTATTACACACATTTCAACAAAACCATTGTACCCTGGTCAATCAATGAGTGACTGACAAAAAGGTGAAATATATACATAAAGTAACTGACTGACAAAAAGCTGAAAGCTATGCTTAAAGTGGCTGACTGACAAAAAGCTGAAAGCTATGCTTAAAGTGGCTGACTGACAAAAAGCTGAAAGCTATGCTTAAAGTGGCTGACTGACAAAAAGCTGAAAGCTGTATATAAAGTGACTGACTGACAAAAAGCTGAAAGCTATATATGAATTGACTGACTGACAAAAAGCTGAGAGCTATGCTTAAAGTGGCTGACTGCCATAAGGCTGAAAGCTATGCATAAAGTGACTGACAAAAAGCTGAAAGCGATATATGAAATGACTGACTGACAAAAAGCTGAAAACTGTGTTTAAAATAGCTGACTGACAAAAAGCTGAAAGCTGTACATAAAGTGACTGACTGACAAAAAGCTGAAAGCTATAAATGAAATAACTGACTGACTAAAAGCTGACAGCTATATATGAAATGAATGACTGACAAACAGCTGAAAGCTATGCTTAAAATAGCTGACTGACAAAAAGCTGAGAGCTATGCTTAAAGTGGCTGACTGCCATAAAGCTGAAAGCTATGCATAAAGTGACTGACTGACAATAAGCTGAAAGCTTTATATGAAATGACTGACTGACAAAAAGCTGAAAGCTATGCTTAAAGTGGCTGACTGACAAAAAGCTGAAAGCTATGCTTAAAGTGGCTGACTGACAAAAAGCTGAAAGCTGTATATAAAGTGACTGACTGACAAAAAGCTGAAAGCTATAAATGAAATAGCTGACTGACTAAAAGCTGAGAGCTATGCCTAAAGTGACTGACTGCCATAAAGCTGAAAGCTATGCATAAAGTGACTGACTGACAATAAGCTGAAAGCTATATATGAAATGACTGACTGACAAAAAGCTGAAGGCTATATATGAAATGACTGACTGACAAAAAGCTGAAAGCTATGCTCAAAGTAGCTGACTAACAAAAAGCTGAAAGCTATGCTTAAAGTGGCTGACTGACAAAAAGCTGAGAGCTACGTTTAAAGTGGCTGACTGCCAAAAATCTGAAAGCTATGCATAAAGTGACTGACTGACAATAAGCTGAAAGCTATAAATGAAATAACTGACTGACTAAAAGCTGACAGCTATATATGAAATGAATGACTGACAAACAGCTAAAAGCTATGCTTAAAATAGCTGACTGACAAAAAGCTGAGAGCTATGCTTAAAGTGGCTGACTGACAAAAAGCTGAAAGCTATATATGAAATGACTGACTGACAAAAAGCTGAAAGCTATGCTTAAAATAGCTGACTAACAAAAAGCTGAAAGCTATGCTTAAAGTGGCTGACTGACAAAAAGCTGAGAGCTACGTTTAAAGTGGCTGACTGCCAAAAATCTGAAAGCTATGCATAAAGTGACTGACTGACAATAAGCTGAAAGCTATATATGAAATGACTGACTGACAAAAAGCTGAAGGCTATATATGAAATGACTGACTGACAAAAAGCTGAAAGCTATGCTCAAAGTAGCTGACTGACAAAAAGCTGAAAGCTATGCTTAAAGTAGCTGACTGACAAAAGGCTGAAAGCTATATATGAAATGACTGACTGACAAAAAGCTGAAAGCTATGCTTAAAGTGGCTGACTGACAAAAAGCTGAAAGCTGTACATAAAGTGACTGACTGACAAAAGCTGAAAGCTATGCATAAGGTGACTGACTGACTGAAAGCTATATATGAGGTCACTGACTGACGAATAGCTGAAAGATATATATACAAAGACTGACTAATGAAGGATAGGCTAAGATCTGCAGCTGCTACAGTAGGTTATGAATTTAGAATTCGTTAACTTAAGAAAATCAATATATCAAATCAATATATATATTAATATATTTGGTTAATTAATACTCTTTAAACTTGAAACCTACTTGTGCAAACAGTTGTCGCTTTAGAATATACAAGCTTTCGGAAGGAGGCTTAGTGCACCATATAATAATGTGAGCCATATAATAATGTATGTAAATCAGTCTAGTCCATCTAGTGTTGTCTATTTGTATCAGCAGGTTGGAACGTTTAACTGCTAAAGTCTATCGAAGTTACTTATTTAGCGCGGACTATTTAGTGGACTGAGTTTCTAAGAAATCGGTTACGCATGTGTTTGAATATAGAGTATTACTTTAATTCTTCATTCTTCATTGAAGATGTAATGATTCTGTTAAAATGCACACATTCAAATTGGTTCATTATTTTCTAATCGAAACGTAATGGCGATTGAAATGTGTTTGAAGTTACAGCTACTACTTAAGTTGTAATTTGCAACTTCCTGCACTAGCAGTGCAGCGGCGGTGTTGGCGGCGGGGTTGCTAGATGCCGACAAGTTCTGCGATGTATGCCAGGAGGCGGAGGTAGTGTTGGTTGCCTAGGTAATGTTGGTTCGAATCTTGGTGTCATAATGTCGGCTTTTATTTGTTTTTTATATTTCACACTCGATACAAACAGTTGAAAATATTAAAAAACTCAGAATGAACTGGGATCAGGGTATCTCGTAGTCGGTCACCCTGAATATAACTTTATTACGTGTTTTTTTTGTTGTGTAGTATATTCGAAATTTGAAGTCTTTAGTACCAATAGACTAATTATATTGTAGCAGGATGTATACAGGATTTTAACAGCAAGTGTAACGCCTCAGTAACCGCAGGTATATGTATTTTCAGTAGAGTGTTAACAATACCAGTATTGGTATGGCTTCAGTTCGACAGCAAGACGAACAGTCATCGAAACTATTATACTCTTTTACTTTATGTTTCTCTTGATTGTATATACATAAGTACTAATTTTTTTACCCTCATTGAAAATGGGAATTCCGGGAAAGGTTTTATATTATATAGACTTTTGATCAGAACGAAGAGTTGAGTCTATGTGGCCATGTCCGTATAAACACAATTGACTTGAATTTGAAATATATACTCCTGTATTTTTTATATCGATAACTGATCACATATGCCATTCGATTAAAATCGATCATTTAACTTCGTCTCTTTTGCGTAGCCTGAACACCATAAATTTTGGAGACCCGATTTACCGCGAAAGTTCCTAAAATGAATACAGAGATTTTGGATTTTGGGTACCGTTCCCGTTCTTACCTAATTCAGAAAACCGTAGTTACAGCTCCAGGGGCTTGCCAAGTAAACGCATCTGGGTGTCATGATTGTGATCGAGCATTTCATTAATATATATCAAAAAGTCATTCAAGTTCGCATAGTAAACCCAATAGTATAAGTCCAAGCGCAGCCGCTGCGTAAGCTGCATAGTAAGTGAAGCTGATGCATGCTTATGTGTGTGTATGCACTAAAATGTATTTTAAAAAGAATCATTATTGGATTGGAATATCACCTCTTCGCCGGGCTTAGGTGTTTCCTAGCAGAGCTATCTCAATTAGAGCACTCTTACCTTTTTAATGTATACACGAGTTTACGGTCCAAATACCAAATCTCTAGTGCCGGTAAAAATGAAATTCGATTTGTAGAATATAGTTTATATAACATTATATAGTTCATGGTGACTTCAGCAGTAAATGCTTTATGAGGTAAGGGTAACAGCGACTTCATTTGTAAATCACTAGCTTCGGTATAAGATAGTCAGAGTACGGTTATTACACAAGCCCAACATACTCTCATCGCTTCGTGAATATTTATATAAAATACAAACAAAAATATAGAAAAAAACGATTTATGCTTGTTTTCACAAAAAAGTTGTGTTTTTATTAACAATTTTTTATTGTTATATTTTTATTTCCGGTGACTAATCAATTAAATCAAATGACCTGGAAATGCCTTAATAAAAACAATAATAATAAACGAAAAAATATTGTAGACATGCTACGTGTTAAAGTACAGTGGGTAAGTGCGAATGGTTTTCCGTGATTTGTTGTTAATAAACCTCAATAAAAAACCTTGGTTTTTATAGTAGTAGAAGCTAATAACCTCGATTCCCACCATTTCATGTGCACCCATTGAAAATGGAAATCCAAGGCAGAATGGTTTTGGGAAAATGTATGTAGCAGGCAGAAGTAGGCAGAAGGAGGCAGAAGGAGGCGTGACAGATAACACATTCTTAATTGTCCGTCTGAAATATAGTACCATATACTTGAAACATACTTCCACGCGTAATATGAGCTTATCTTTTTATTTGACAACTCATCCCATTTCCGTATTATCGATACAATCTGTAGTAACTCCAAATTTGCAAAAATCCTATTTCACATAATAGATACTTGGGATTTATTAATTTGAATAGGAAAGACCATCTATCATAAAAGTTATTAAACAATTAGGTATCCATAAAGCCCATGCTTGTGTACATGGTATACATGTGGTCGCTGTAGAGTCTCGCCTACTCGCAGGGCTCAAGGTATCTCCTAGTCGAGCAGTCTCGACTAGACCTTTTTTACTTGTTATTTATGCTTCATATTATTATTACACTTTTAGTTGCTTCACTTAAAAATTGTTTGTGCTCCTTTCTCCGTGCTCCTTGCTCCTGCACCGTAGGCCACTAAAACAAATATCTTTTACGATTTTTCGTTCTTTTATGTCTCTGCCATTTATTTCCGGGGTAAAACTAAACTAAACTCAACATTGTAATCCGCAGGCCTACGAATTTTAATTTTCGACGCGAGACTCGACCATTTGTCGCCTATCCCCATACCAGTTTATTTTTCCGCCTCTTTTCGGCGGAGTCGCGACAACAATTCCGCTGTCTGGCCGCCAGCCAAGTGGAGCGTCAGCGGCAGCACAAAGTCTGGGTCTAAGTCCGATTAATGGCATTGCGTGAAATTTGTGTATTAGACGACGCACATGTGTACATACATACATACGACATCTAAAACAATTTTTGGAATGTTATTCAACTTGTCATATAAGTAATACCAATTAGCTTATTATAGTAATAATAATAAATATTACAAAAACATATGTACGCACTTTCCACTTATGGGGTCATTAATAAAAGAAGCCGGAGTATTCCGATTATTGTTATTATTAATAATACACCTTAATAATACAATTTAAATGAATATAAAAATATAGCAGTTTTAGACGTAGATTATGTACGTGTCCTAATATATTTAATTACTATAATGTTGAAAGTAAAAGGACTATATTGGTTGATGCCATATACGTTGTGCCTTGACACAAACCTTAAAATGCAGAATATATACTCAGTAGGACTATAGTCTTATAAAGTCTTTAGACTTTTCCAACACGCCCACTAGGAGCGAGGGGAATCGCTGCTATTTAAGGTTTGGAGAATGATTATTACATGAATATGACTTGTAAAGTGACGCAATTTTACCCTGATTTTCCATATTCGCTGTGTTCAAGGTATAATTAATATATATAGGTGTACCTATAATCAGGCAAAACTTAGATACAAAAAGTACTTACAGACTCAGCTTGTGCGCAACTTAATAGTGATGAAAAAATAAATAATAAACAGAAAATTCAAATCTGGGTGAGCGAATGCATTATTATATAACAAGGTTCATTAACCGTATCGTAATGTGGGCCATGCGCCTAACCACAACCTTGTTGTCCTAGGTTTGCTGTCATGAATGTATGACACTTACATTTTCGGAAAATATACGACCGTTGTATGCTGTTTGTGTGTGTGCGAAAGTCGTTGTGTATGTAAGTAGTATATTCAGACAACACTCGCTTAAATGTCACCTTTATTTATTAAGACTGCTTATTACATTAACACTTGAGCGCGATTTAACACGATTTTCTCAAGTATTTTTTCGTTTGCCAGCACAGGCCACTGCCAAGGAGTGTCTGTGTCCTGTCGCTATGTGGATGAGAAAGCAGGCGGAACGAGGCAGAGTATCTCTTAGCTACTTCCATCCTTCTTCTACCTATTCAGTTGAAGTGGCGAAATCGTGAACGTGAACTACCCGCCCCGGTGCACTTGTAAGCATTTAACTTACCTACACCAACAGCAGTTTCATCTTTTTCATGTGCGCTGAAGCTCGAGCTGCTTCATCATTTTTAGTCCTTTGGGGCACACTCTGCTCGCTACTTGCCGCGACTGATGCTGCGGCTTATAAGCTGCCGTTAGCTCCTCTTTTTTGTTACTGTTGGTCCTTGCTTATTGCTAAACGCCTGACTGAGGGTTGTAACTTGGCTTAGATGCTTCGCTGACTTGCCTTGCCTTTCCTGCGCGTCCTAACATTTGTCGACATTTGTAGCTTGGCCTGGGACTAGGCTTGCGACTAGAGCTAGAACTTCACCTGGGAGTAAGCCAGAGACAAGGACTGTGGCTCCGGATTTGGTTTGTTTCTGCCCCTAATATTGGATTACCTGTTGTCAACATGCTCAACCTATGTGCTGGCATTTGTAGGTGCTATTGACATGAACTGTGTTGATTTTATACAATTAACTTTTCGCCTGTTTATTTTATGTTTTTCTCATGACACTCGCCTTGAGCCTTTTGTCTATGTTACCTCTGCGCTAATTCCTTGTCAACTCTCAGCAAGGCCAAGAAATTCTTCATGTCATTTAGGGCGGCAAAATCAAAATATTCAAAAATTATATCTAATGGAGTGTGACTTAGTATAAATACATAAATTAATTTGCTTGCTTAAAACAACATTTTAATTTGAGAGTTAATTTTAATTTTATAAGTTGCACCCTAAACTGTTTTTTGTCGTAGCTGTCACCGATGATCGCGTTAAAAGGGTATTCACCCAAGAATCTGCAGTTGTGATACAGTGCGGTAGATCAAATTTTTGGAATCCACATGGCAAGGGAGATTTCCTAAGCAATCAAATAAACTTGTACATTGATAAAAAGCAGTGTATATGGCAAGCTTTTGAAGTGAAACACGTCCAATGGATTATATCTCTAAAAAACGATTAAATACCCTTAAAGATATTAAATAGAATAACCCGAAGCTAATAAATACATTCAGAAAACAAGTGAAAAAGCTCTTGTTGGGGTGTCCGACTAGGAGATACCCTGATCTCAGTCTTATCTGCATTTTTTAATATTTTCAATGGTTTGTATCGCGTATTAGAAAAAAATAAAAATAAAACGCGACATTACGATATCAATACTCGAGCCAACACAGCTACTTTATAATTTAAAAAAAAAAAAAACAAAAGAAAGCGTCCATGCAACACCTTACATCGAACCCTGAGCTTGTGTCAACTCCTCTACCAATGCCGGCATTACAATGCTTATATGTTTCAACTGAAATTATTTGGGGAAACTTATAGCCGGTATCCAAAATGTAATAAAAATTAAAATTTTAGAAAATATACTTTAAACTAAATATAAAATTTGGAGGCTCTTGCTCTTAAGTCGTACGAGAATAGTGATCGATTACTTGAAGCAAAATTGATATGCATGCTGCACAGACCTACAAATGTATAGAATTTCAAGTCAGTAGCTTTTATATATGCTGAGGTCGACGCGATCACACAGACGGTCAAACGGACGGTCTGCCACTCCTCCTTCTGCTTGTTACCTACATTTGCACAGCAGCATTATACCCATATTTCTCATTTTCAATCGGATCAGGGTATAACAAGCCGCAATAATGAGAAATGAAAATGTATGAATGAAAATGTAATGTCACGAATAGAAGGAGTATATTAATTTTGTAAAATAATACGACTTGTTGGGAGTTCACTTCACATAAAGTATTGTGATTCACCAGATAAACCCACAACAGGCGTGTCAAATCAGGAAATACTCTATCTGTTATATCAGAAATACTATTATTTAAAATGCTAGAGAACATCTACTCTCGTTGACAACTCTATCTAAAAGATATACCGAATATATCGTGGCTACTCAACTATTAGAAGCTATGAACCATGGCTCATAGCTCTACATTCACCTTCTTAATAAAATGGCATGTATGTAATATGAAACTTTAAGGGTGCTAATTGAGTATAATTTTACCATGATATTTAATAATTGTCACTGTAATAAAATAATTAAATTACAAATATTGGTTATATTGTTATACATCCTTCCATGGCAGCTGATGTACTTAAGCTAAAGGAAATCATAAAACTTTCGTACTCAATGATCCAAAGAGCTGCTTACTAACATACTTGGATAGTTTTAAGTCAATGTCGCTGACTTTTCAGATGTCATCGCAAAGAGAAGTTCAAAGGAATTGAATTTCCAATTTAGATTCTTTCAACATCTTTTAAAAGTGCTTAAACGTTTTAACTTTAATTAAAATTTCAACATGTTTTACATGCAGACGTTCAAAGACACACACACACACACACACATGTGTGTGTCTAGTCGTTTCCACACCCGCATAAATTAACTTTACGTAGCTCGGCTCCCGTCCCGATCCCCCGTAAACGTTGCTGTAAGTACCTTATCTTAATGCGCGCCATATCTACCCTAATGCAGATAATAGGACAGGCCGCTATTTAAAGTCTAACAACCCTTTTTATATGCAAATTGTTGCTCCACGCGCCACGCCCTAACGCCCATCGCCCATCGCCCCATCGCCCTATCGCCGCGACACCCCAATATCCCGACGCCTTGGTTGCCAACTGAATGACTGCCTGCCAGCCAAGTTGCGCACACAACTTGACATTTTTTTCATAGTTCGCAAAGATATATATATGTTTATATCTAGCAGTACAGCAGAGGTGCGCTCTTTTTTTAATTTCCCCCATTTAAACATGCTGTGAAAAGAAAAAGCAATGTACGGCGTTTATATAGGTATGTACTATGGCTATGTGGGTGCGGGCGTGCGACTCTGCGAAGTTCTGGAATGGGCGTTAACTCTGCTAAGGTTTACTCAGCAATGTGGTCCCTAGTCTATGTGTGTGTGTGTATGTGTGTGTGCGTGCTGTGCTCCTGTGCTTTACATCTACAGCTCTTTATACGTGTTCACGAGGGGAAAAGAGTATATAGCTTTTTGCAATATCAGTCTGCGTCGTTTACAATAAGCAACTTATACTCCTGCTAACAAAAATACATCGTATCTACGGCTTGACAAATCAGATAAAAGTATATATTCCAGCATTTTAAAGCTCAAATCTCAAAATGTTAGAGATGGATTGCCTCATTGCGACGTAGCAAATCGGAGAACCTTAATAAATAAGTAAATTTAACTGTAAATTTAACTGTAATAAATAAGTAAATTTAACTGTAATAGAGTATTATACAGTCGTTCGCATCCGGCTGCAGTAGCCTTACTTGTTTTGCCTGACAGTTCACGCTGGAATTTTTCATACATACATATATACATACATTCAAATATATATATATATAGGCTAGAGTGTGTGTGTGTGTATGGGAAAAACTTTACAATAATTTGCAATTTAAATAGTTTTAATTAACTTTTACTAATTTGTCGACGCTCAACTTGCTCAACTTGGCAAACTAATTTTAAAGTGATTTATTATTTAAACGGCTTGATGATTGACAACGCCCAAAAAGGGGCGCTAAATTGCCTGCGGCCTAATTAGCAAGGTGTGCTTAGCGCACTGTGGTCTCCCATTTGATTGAGTGAAAGCGCTTTCAAAGTGCCCATAAAAGGCCACAGATTTAACAACTAAGAGCGGCAAAACAGTTATGCATGACTCTCACATATTCAAATGCTGCAAAAAGGTTTTAGCTCTAATGAACGCCTCTTTAAAGTAGAATATTTCTGTTTTGCAGGTGACTGGATGTGTAGGTCTGATATGATAATATAGTTCATACTGAATTACAATTTAACATGGTACAATTTAAAAAAAGAAATCTCAATTTGATAAATCAAACCTCATTATTATGGCTGGGTTGAATTATTTTTGAAAAGTTCAATAATGCTTATGTCTTTTAAAAACATATCGAATGAGAAGACGTTAACAGAAAAATATATTTATAACACTTGCTGTTTGTTTAAGCCATTACGACGCAATCATTGTAGGTCCACAACACTCCCGACTTGCAGCCGCCCGACCCATAGATAAACGTGTGATTGTATCGTCGTATCAGCAGCAGGGTCAATCCCGACAATAGAAAGATTCCACCAAAAAATATGCCAATACATAATTCCTTGCTTCTGATAAAGTTAAATCTAAACACTCCTTTAAAGTCAGTTAATTTTATACATTCCACGACACATACTCACCGTTTCTGGCTCTTCAATAGATCAAAGTTGCAACGTCCAATTAAACGTCCACAGTCCCGGCATGTTGATCTGGCAAGTACTTGGCTCGTTTGATCACATAGTTTTTTGTACTTGCTCACAATTTCAGCGATGCTTCTACAGGTTCGCGTTTCCATGCAGCACTTGGGATTCGGGCTTGCCATTTTCAGCTTTTTAAGGCAATGTAATGTGTAATACATATAATGTAAAACATATAATGAAATGATACATAGGCTTTATGAGAACTGTGAAACTTGATTCAACTGCCTGCTGCGGTTAGGCTTTACAGCTATCACTATTCAATTTAAAATATATAAAAATGAAAATACCGTTAGTTGTCCGTATTGTGATGAACATAGAATACCCTTCACAGTTAAACTTTTTATTCCAAGTTTTCTCATGGTAGCAAGCAAAAAGGCGAACTCCTCTTGCAAGCTATTATATGTCGTAGCATAGACGAAGCTATAAATTTTTACACTCTGAACTTTTCCTGAAACTCATGAACTCTCGGTTGCTATTCAACAACATGAGTGATGGACTACAGCCTCATTAAGCTTCTATATTTAATGATTTTAATCAGAGAGTGTGTCATGAAACATTCTCTCATGCAGTAATATGAATTTTTTTAAACAAATAACATGAACGCGTAATATTAAGCTATGAGTTTTCATTAACGTTCGTCGATTGACCACTCTGTCGATGTGGATGTTGATCAGGAATACAGAAATTCGTTGTATCCTTTTTATTGCTTTTACGCATAAAGGGTAAATAATGAAAAATTCGAGAAATTGGTCAATAATCAGGATTCGTAATGAGTTGAACGCAATCGACACCATTATGTATGTTGTTATATGGAAGCTGATTTCAATTAAAGTGGCGCCGGGTCGTTTCATTTCCAGATGACCAATCCGCTGGCATTAATTTTCAATAAAAATTCCATAAAGCAAAAAGTAATTAACAACAAATTACGAAGATGGTGGCAAACAACAGGCGAGCCGCAGACGATACACTTAGGGCTAATTACATTTGCTGCGGCTCTAAAAAGATGGTTGGCATTGAAGGCAATTGCCGCAGAGACGAGAAAATCTCATTTTTAAAGTATTCAGGAAAACTTCTGGTTTCCATTAATGAAAAGAGCTGCGCCAAATTAAATATATCAAATAAATGAATAGTAGCGAACAAACAATTGTAAGCTACATAATTGATTTACCAATGTATTTATTTCTCCATGCTTCTTCATGCTTCTTCATGGACCTAATGAAAAGTTTCCACAGCGGTTGACCGGGTCTTGGAAGCCAAGTACATGGTCTGTAATTAGTAATTGGCCAACTGCAGTCAGCAAAATAATTGACGGCACAGAAAAAATAGGTACACATGCACACATATATACACATTCCAGATACATTCATGGAAACAGCAATTTACAACACCAGCCGCTCGCAAAGTAAAAGCAATGGCTGCGAGCCACAACATTTTTGGCAAGTGATGCGAAACTAATGTGCCCAAAAGTCGACTGTGTTGTTGTAGACACCCGCTGTGTGGCTAGTGTTGACCATTCAACTCTGCGCCGGTCCCTGGCCACCAACTGTTAGCGCAAATTGCAATCATATTAAAATCAGTCGCCAAATGAACGAATTAAAAAACCCCGCAATTAGTTTTCTGACCATAGAATAGAAGTGGGCATCAAAAGGACATGCTAAATTCTGCTTGCCTTGTCAAATCTGTTGAGTCTCCTATCAAAGCTGCAGAATATTAAATCACAGAAATTCAGCAAAAATGATTTTAAATAAGTTCTTTTCACAATAAATATTTAAAACAAGTAAAAGTCAACTAGGATTTTTATGTTTTACAATCGAAAGGTCAAAAGCGTCCATAGTATAACTTTTTTGATTTTATTTATATGGCTTTTTTTTTATAGACAGTACAAACTTATCACTTATTTCTCCATATTTTATATTTAAAATAAAAGGAAATAGTATTATTTCCATGAGAATGAGATTATGGATAGTTTATATTCTCGCTTCATCGCCTTGACCCAGAATATATGATTGAATAACAGCCTTATAGGAGCCTCTTTCCCGAACATCATTAAAATGTTGAATTTTATCAATGTCATAAAAATTACCAAATTCCCAATTCGTGCTTGGTTTGTTTACTTTGCATTGACATTATGGAGACGGCATGAATAATTATGCTCATCGCTGGCAGCATACAATAATGTAATTAATTGTATTCGTACATGCAACAGGAAGAGGCAGGGCAAAAACTTAAGCAGTCACATTCACACATCCTCAGTCGGAGACAATTGAAACTTTTGCCAACAACCGATGACAGCTCAAACAGATTGTCATTTGAGGACACGACTTTCTTTTTGCCAGCCGGCATGCCAGCGACCAAATTATCGCAAGGATGCGAACGACTACACTGAGACTGACTATGTCTAAGGGTCCTGGCTTACCGACTCACATATTTCAACTTACATGTAAGTATGTATGCATTGGTATGCGTATTTATATGCAGTACTTAAGTGTGCGGCTAGAGGGACATACGTAGTTGACCGAGAAATAGTTTGTGGTTGTTTTTATGCCACCCACATTCGATTCGCTTTTCCTTTTTCATATTGTCATTTCGTCATGCGTTTCATTCAGTTGTACAAAGCAGACGCCGGGTGCTTCTCGACTGATGTGGGTCTTCGTGTCTATGGGATTTTGTTCTTTGCTGTCAGAGCAATTGATATTGGGTGTAAATGCAACAGCATCCACATTGTTGGCAAGGGCCGCTGGCACATTCTGAGACGGGCTTGAGCTCATTATTGACATTTTCGATTTGCCAGTTCTTCCATAAAATATTTCGTATTTGTTGTAGTTCATTTTGCCTCACGCTAGTTCCACGTTTCACCAATGTCACCGTCACGTCTCTGCTGCTGCAGTTGCATTCCTTAACATTTCTTTTCCTTTGAGAAATGTGATGGACATTATGCTCGTACAATGTATTGAAATGTTATCTCTCGCGACGTCATCCATGAGGAAGAACGGTGTTGTATATGCTACTGCAATTATACCCAAGCAGCCATTTATGGAGCTAAGCTATAGGCACATAACTCGCGAAGATAAAAATCTGAATACTGAATACAATTCTTTCAGTGTCTTGAACAGGTAAATAGTTTCATAGCCCAGTCATAGATTGGGTCACTTACAAACTGACTCCCAAGTGCTGAGTCGATTTATATGTCTTTATAAAATTGTTTACTGGGTAAGCAGTGAGCTTTTGAACAAGCGTTTACTATAGCTCTGCAACTATTGCTGGCTTTCTATATGTGTATCCATTGTCCTTACAGCTATTGTTTAATGGTCACATTAAAACAGCCCTATTGTTGTCGTTGTCGTTGTCGTTGTCGTTCTCGTTCTCGGTCTTGTTCTCGTTGAAGTTATTCTGCTGGTTGCTGTCGTCGTTGCAGTCATTTGACCACACCCTTCGCATACTTTTTCTAGCGCATTTATTTACAATACTCCAGACGGGAACTATGAATCACGCTCAAAACTATGCAATAAAAATATAGGCTTGTGCCATTGGCCTTTTTAGTGGCTTTTTGGTGCACTACCTCTCATATGTGGTGCTTACTCAAGCGGTATTTGCCCAGTCTGTGCTTGAGTGTCTGTTAACGTATTGAAGTAAGGACTCGAAAATTCTATGACTGTGTATCACAATCGACTGAATGCATAAAGTAATAGATTAGCTAGACCTAGTCCATATTCGATTCTATATCTGGTATATCAGAAGATCTATTATTCAAAGTGTTAGAGACTTGAAAATTTGAACTTTATTCAACTAAACTAATGCTGACCTCCTCAACGTAATTACCAAAAAATATATTTGTATATATAAGAACGTATCTTCCAATGCTTTTGAACTGGCAGCGTTTAGACCGTGAAAGTGTATTATGTAGTCGGTAGCGGCCGACTGCAGTATTTTTACTTGTTTTATGTTTACAGCAGCCTTTGGTCGATGAGTTATCGATCCAGAAAATTATGTGAATGAGTCTCGAATATCCACTTTGGATGGATGCTGCATTGCCTGCAAGCCGAAGGACTCGGTTCTACTATTATTTAAATAGCTAATTATAAATTATAAAATCAGCAGAATACGGGGTTACTAATTAATACAGTCCTACTCTAATCCACATGATAACTAAGGCTAAATGGTCCTATTATGAGTTCCGACTTTCGCATGTATTTATACTCATTCACTAAATGAAAGAGTATATTAGATTAGACCAATGTCCGCAAAGGTTAAAAGATTTAAATTGATATATATATATACGCAACTGCCATTATCTTATATAGAGATAAACTTTACCGATATACCCAGACTCGGCAAATGGGAACTGACTCTACCTGGTAAATTAGAAACGCCGTTATTTAAACGCTAATATCCAATTCAGAATATGTATATATATTTTCCAAAACTTTATAGCTGGAAACTTAATTACTGCTGAATCCTTTTTGATCTCTTTACCAACAAATATTGAACTGTGTCTAAGGTGAATGGGTATTATACAGTCGATAGCGCCCGACTGTCCCATTCTTACTTATTTATTTCATAATTACTTGAAGTTAAATAATATACCCATTTTACTTTGTATTCGCAATGAGTATAAATCACGCACTTTCCGGAAATAATATTAAAATAATACATTAACTTCACCAAACGTTGCATCGCCCACGCGATTGTAAGAACAAAAAATATAATTAATTACACGACGTAACAGTTATCATTGGCAAACCGAATTTAAGATACTCTCACTGAGATATGTGTAATGAAATAATATTTATTTTTCATTATTGTCAAGATATAAAAATATTTAGAAAACATGTAATAAAGCTAAATGTATCTAAAAAAACCAAATATTTTTTGTATGTTGGCGTAGGAAATAAATATGAATATGTGAGCCTAGAAAGTGCTTATAAAATAAAATAACTTAAATGTGCACAATCCGTTGCTCCCGCTATACACTATATGCGATAGAGTATTATATGTCTCGGCAAAATGTCAGAGATTGTCGTGCAGACACTCTACCCAACTAGGACAAGACCATGCGACTCCTAGTGCAAATCACAATTGCTATTTGGAAATATAATGTAATAAAAGGATATTTCCACTAGGGTTTGGCCCAATTTTGATACGACTCATTAAGAGTGGCATAAAGCAAAAGTGCCTTGCCATAATATACCCTATGCTCAACTATAAGCTGACATTTTCAACTATTATTCTTTGAGTATAATTCGATTTCGTTTTTTCCCATAAATTCTATTATTTTATTTGTACACAGCGTTGAGTGCTTACAGGGTATACACATGTACATCAATTCCAATTCTTTCAATCAGTTCTGGTCAAATAGCGTGACCCAAAACTAAAATTGACGGGATTGCACCTCGGGAACCTAGAAGAAGTTGCAAGTAAGAGGGAAATACGCAGCAACAAGAGAGCCATGACATGGTGAAATGTGTTGTCGACGCTGACGTATCCCCGTAGCGTACGACGACACAGCAAATTGGCGACTTCCATTTAACGACAATATAAGCACGTTAGCCTACAGACTCACACATTGTACCCAATAGCTCGGTAAAGAAAAGCAGCTATGAGAATGTTTGTGAGATTTAATAAAAGTGTATAAATAATCATTAAACTTGGTCTTTGACAAATCAAAATTTAGTTTTTCAGCTTACTTTCATTTCTTACATTCATTATAAATAGAATTGCACATCACAATTTAGTTTTCTGGATTACTCTAACTTTTATAAGAAGTATTCCAAATCTAAAATTCTTCTTTATATTCCGCTGTGCTCAAACAGATCTTTCACATATGGAACATCAATAAAATAAATATGTATGACAAGTTCATGTTTTAATTTAATGACCCGATAATCGTAAGATCTTAAGCTATTTTATTCATTAAAAATTAATTAGTTTTAATTTTTTAAAGTTTTTTTTTTCAATATAACAGAAAGCTTAGCTGAACATAAGGTGTACAAGACATGTAGAGATAATACCAAATTAAAGATATTCATAGCTGGGTTTTCCCTAATGTCTCTATTAAATAATTCTCCTATTGTGTTAAAGTGTATGGTATGCCGCTGTATATACGTTTGACCACAAAACGTTTGAGCCATTAAGTAACAAGTGCTAACTTTTGTGATACCTCAAACTGAGCTCGAGCACTTTACTCGTAATGTCGCCGAAGTGGTTAAACCTCCCGCTAGCTTGTTTTTGAGGGGTTTGTATGCCATGAGATTGGGAGGAGGCGGAGGAAGTTGCACAGCAAAATGGTTTAAAGAACGGCAAATGGCACAATGCCCGCCACAGGGACGGGTGACTTATAAGAGGGCACAATTAGGCGAACGGGAGTTAGGAGGTGTGGCAATGCCGGAGAAGTCGCGTGGCAGCATTAGCCCATAAGTCAGGCGCCTGCACCAAAAGCAAAGCAACACAACAACAAAACGTAATTCAATGCCCACGACGTCGTCGTCGACGTCGGAGCCCGAGGCGCGCTCTCTATGAAAATTGGCTACGTGGAGGACTTTAGAGTGGACAAGCACATGAAACACAATTCAAAAACACTTCGACCGGCAAAGTTGCCAGACGGAATTTCTTCTGCAGTGTGCACAACACGGCCAAGAGCTGTCTCAAGGAAGTCCAGCCTGAAAGTTGCGCACTTTGTTTTGATAACTTTCTTGTAAGATATTTTAATAAACTTTTGCTTGACTTCATTAAACCCGATTCAAGTAAATATGTGTGGTTGCCTGCGCGCCGCCTGTTTGCCCCCAATAAGTTGAAACAATCGCGCCTGATTGATAGGCAATTAGAGCAAACGGACGCAACGGAAGCTGCCGAAGCCGAAGAGTCAACAACCCTTTGCACATTAACAGCCAACTTTATCCCAGAGGTCTGTAACGAAAGTGTCATTAAGCTAATTGCCGCAAAAAATAGTGCAGAGGACAACGAACAACCTCAGCCGCAAATGGAAGCAAAGAAGTGCAACGTGTTGCAATAAAAATAATTTACATAAGCCAGGTAAGTCAACGATAAAAAACGTAGAAGCATTCGCCTACTTCCCACTGTCGATTCCACCAACCAACCAAGCATTATTCAAAGTGAAAAACATCGCAATGGTAAATTTCGATGCGGCTGAAATACTTGCATATGAGCCAACCGTCTGTGGGGTCTGTGGGACGGGTCTAACTGAACAGACCCACAATACTTGAAGCAAGTTACGCCCTGCTCTCGGTCACCTCCAGAACGCGGATATACTTGCATATAAGTATAAACCCTCCTCCTGTTTATGTGTACAACAGATGGACTCCGCCAACTGGCCTGGAACTGTGACTTCACCAACACAGGCACAATAATATGTTGAAGAGACTTTAAGGGCGGATACATGAAACAAGACAAATAGTGCGCGATTTTTTCATTCAAGAGCCCAGTACTGGCATCATTGCCCAAGCAAAGTGAGAAGTAGAACAAGTGGGCTCCTTACACTGTTTCACTGTTTACAGACAAAGGAACTGTGAAGTTGTTGGCCCGGCAGTTGTTGAGTTGCGTCTGAAGTGGATCTCAAGAGCTGCCGAAAATGGACATGACATGGACGCATTGCTTTTTGCAAGTATCCCGATAGTGGCTATCGAGTTGAAAGTTCCAAATGGCTCAAAAGAGATTTCTATGCTACCCAAAATTGTGATTTGACCTAAAGGAAATTTCTGAGTAATTCGGCACTCTAACAGTATAAATAATTCTTGCATTTTTAGGACCAGCTACAATTGTGTATTGGGATACAATAACAGAAAAATGTAACTGGCAACCAGAACCTCACAGAACACGAGACTCACGTCGACTACGGGTAATCAAAATCTTATACGTGAACTAATCGAGTAGAAGTAGCTCCTTTGAGTCGTTTTGAGTCGACGCGACATAGACGCTACCGTGGCGACTTTTGACCACAACAACGGAGTCACGCAAGGCAACGTCACGCTGAGATTTGTGTCACACCAGAGAAAGATATAGAGAGAGCGAAGGAAACGGAGACGGAGAGAGACAGAGAGCCAAGGAAAGCAAAGAGAGCTCTGGCTAAACGGATAATGTCCAACGAAGAGAACGACTACGTAGACGCTGTTGCTGGGGCTGGTGCTGGTACAGGTGCTGGTGCTGGTGCTGGTGCTAATGTTGGTCATGGAGATGGTGATGGCGAAGGCGATGGTGATGGCGACGGTGGCCTCGCAGCTGTTAATGGCGAGCCCATTCTAGGTGGCCAAACAATGGCTCAAATTAGTTCGAACTCACAACTCGAAGGAAACGTTTCGCCGACATTCACTCAGACGACAGGCCAGTTTGATGATAACGATAACCACGTGAAAACCAACAACTCACGACTGGGCCGAAACACCGATAGTAACTGCAATAGTCCTTCTAAGAGCCCCACCAGCCGACGTGCCGGCAGCTCAACAAGCTTTCAAATACATCTTCAAAATGCCCAATACAACGAGGATGATGACTTAGCAGGTGGGGACTTGCAGGGTAATAGCAGTGCAGCTCCGACTGTTGGTGGAGGTGGAGCTGCAGTCCGTGCCGCTGGCGGTGGCTCCTCGCACGACTATTGGTCCCAACGTAACGGTAGAGCCAGCGGACCAGCTGTAGGTTCGGGTGCAGGCCCAGGCGCACAGAGCGGCAACCAAAGTCGTACGCTTAGTCCCAGCTATTTGGATAACATGAGCGAGAATTCGGAGCAACCGCCAGTCGTGCCGCTTGTACGCTCAAAATCGAGGCCAGAAATCTCTAGTGCTGCGGCCTCCCGTTACTCGAATCTTTCATATTGGAAGGCTCGTCGCGTTGTGTTCTATCGCAATGGTGACCCCTTCTTTCCGGGCGTTGAGCTGCGCTACCGTCCCGGCCGAGATGTTACCTCGCTGGACAATCTGCTCGACAAGATCTCTCCCAAAATGGATTTGCCGCGTGGTGCACGCTACGTCTTCTCCATGGATGGCGACCGAAAATACCACCTCGATGAGCTGGAGGACGGTGCATTCTATGTGGTCTCCTCATTCAAGGCCTTCAAGGTAAGTTCCTTAGTTTTGTAACTTGTATTATAAGCGACGCGTGTTTAGCTTAAATTTAAATTTTTTTTTTTTTTTTTTTGCCACATTGCATTTTGAAGTTTAAGTGTTGCTTTCCACGTCAACTTTAGTGCAAAATCAATAGAAATTTGAATATTTTGGTATAATTATGCAAATGGAAACAGAATATATATATATATAAATTTATATATACTCACATAAAACTATATACGCTGCTAGTTTTTGCGGTCAGCGTCTCATTCCTCAACTCCAGTCCCAACCCTCAAATCGGGTCACTTGGCCTAAAAACTTAAGAAACTCTCACTTTTGTTTTTCTACAATTTTTGGTTCCGAACCCACATTTTTGCATGCGAACACTTTCGTTTTTATTGACCATTCGTCGTTCTCAGTTCTCAGTTCTCAGCTCTCAGTTCTATGGACTTGTTTTCGATTTGGTCCCACAACCTCTACGCTCTACTATATCTGTACACACATTGTATAGCTGTGTACGTGTGACTCGTCCGTGTGTGTGTGCATGTGTAAGAGCTTGTGTATAGCAATTGAAACTATGTAATACTCTCTTACCAATGTTCTTAGCCTGTTGGGCTATTTGTATTACATTCGTGGGAGTTTCACGTTTTACACGCCACACACGCAAAATATAAATCCGTGAAGTGGGGTTGACTTAGAAATTAGGTCTTGCGTCTAATGTCCCCTTCACATAGCTTCTAAGAGAATTACCCTTGTGAAAGAGAAAAAGAGAGTGGACGTCAGCTACAGCTTTGGCATGGTCTTACCAACGATGGTAGCCGACGCGTCCGTAAGATATTTGCTCAGACAGAACTCAAATTATATCAATTACATTTACAAACACCAAAAAAATCTCAACTCTACTTTACCAGATACAACTTAGAACGAAGATACAAATTGAAATTAAAACAAGCTATTAGAGACAATATTATTTCAAAGGCCTTTGAATTTGAATTGAATACTGAATTCAAATATATTCAGACAAGTTGACTTTTGAAGGGAGTGGAAATTTGAAAACTGAAATCCAAATAGCCAAATAGAATGCAATAATATATAGATATATATATTTATAAGTTAATGTTTATAATTACGTGTTTCTAAATTGATAAATAAGATACTGATCGACACTTTTACCACAACTCGTTTCTTGCCCCGTTTGAAGATTCAAATTAGAATGAGGATGAGGATGTGGTTATCGTGCTTAAGCAACAGCCGTAATTTATGCAATCTAATGCCAATGCCTAGCTCACTTTAAGCGCAATGAAATTCATAAGTTAGATTTTCGATTTGCATGAAGCACAAATTGAAATTTTAGGCAATCATTGAATTACACTTCCTTCACGTCCAACGCCTACAATTGAACGATTTTTACATGCCTTTGCTGAAGTCTGAGCAGTGCTGATAGGAATTCATGCATTCATAATCCGCAAAGACAATGGCATGGCGCGGTCTGCTCTCAGGCTATTTCGCGTATTGGCAACGCTAAGGCTACTTGCAGACTATTCCCTTAATGCACTCAGCTTGGCAAGCGTTCTCTGAGATCGGCCGAGACAAAGGCCAGCTAAAAGCTGTGCAGATGCACCACCGAAGCAACCTCGTGCAATGCCCGTGGCTGGTAAACAAAAGCGCAGCAGGAGACTTCTGCCAAATGAAAACTTATGACGAGGCGCCGGTCGGGCCGCCGGCGCTGCTGTTGCCGCATGGAGTTCCGTGTGGAACAAGAGGCGCACAAAATGCAACAAGGAACAATACCAAAGCATCAGGCATCGGAGCATGGAGTTGAAGCTATGCCCTGCAGATGGTTGAAGTGCATAAAATCCAGTGCTGCTCTCTGTAGCTCTGCGAACCCTCTCTAGACGTTTCCCTCTGAGAAAAGGGCCAATTTGAAAACTTGCGGTGTTTCACTTAGGGAAATTAAAGTGTATGTATGAGAGAGAAAATAGGAAGAAAGAGTGAGAGGAAGAGCTCTTGCTCGAGAAGGCGTTAACTGCATGTGGATTAAGCAAGTGTAATAATAGAAATTAATCTAGCTCCACATTTGATTCAACAGGAGCCAAGCTGCTGGCACGCAATCAAAGGTTAGGCTTACCAAAGCATTTATGATAATTTATTCGTCACGGGACGTGCGTGACCAGTGGGTCGAGCTGATATGATTTTGGGTGCAGCAAATTGCATTTGCCTTGTTAAAATAATTGCTCATATAGCGAAAGGGCCAAGGGCAACGAGGCACACACATAACCAGTGCTAGTCAATTAGTTATTCTACAGTATGTCCTCCCTACATGTGTTGTGACAAAATCGTTTTGAATTCAGACATTGGAAGCTCCTTTAAAGTTATTAGGTGCAGCCAATTGTAAATGATAACCGGCAAAGGCAACCGCGAATCGCATGTGCGAAATTACAAAGACAGAAAGGGTGTCGGTGCTGGGGTATGTGATTATGGGCTTGGGCTTGTGCTTGGGCGGCTGATGGTGTTGGTGCTGAAGGGCTTGTACGCGGTGCTGCGCCCTAAATTGAAAGAAAAATGGACACGAAGGGCTTCTGACTTTCAAAGCAGTCCAAAAGAAATTAAGATTTTTGGCAGAAACGTGCGCGGAAAGCTAAAAGCGAAACCTCTGCATCGCGAATGCAGCACGCAAGGTCAGGAGTCAGCAGCCAGGAGCCAGGAGCCAGGAGCCAAGAGCTAGGAGCCAGGCGCATTGTAATTAACTGCAAAACAGAATCGCACGAGCGAACGGAATTTGACGTCAATGTAAAGTTCTTTCTTCGTTGCGGCGAAAGCAAAGGGCACACAAATTATAACAGCCCTGTATCTGTGTCACACGACAGAGTTTCGCCTGCATCCACTGACAAGTGATGAGTTTTACTGCCATTTATGTGATACATGCGGTTCAGCTGTGGACGCAAATTGCGCGTTAGCATCTGTTAGCAAGGACAATCTCATCTGCAGCCATCTTCGCCGACGGCTATCGCAATGAATTGTTGATGCTCGTCTGCCAATCCAACGGAAGGCTGATTCATTTCTGACTACGTCGACATTGCTTTGCAATGCAGTGAATTGATTCGACAAACAATTGTTGCACGTAACGTCTGCAAGTCGTTTGCTCTTTGGCTTATCGGCAATTTAGCGCGGCGTCAAAGGCTGCAGTAGAAAAGGCAAAACAGATATCTATAGATACATAAATACAATTGTGCGTGTGTGCTTTGCGGCATTTACTATCAGGGCTAAACGACACCCAAGTACTGGCAGCAGCAAAACAAGCTCTGCACATGCCAACGATGCCAACGTAAGCAAAAACTTAACGTCTATTAATATTACGCATACGCCATGTTGCAAATGCATTCAATTGGCAAATGTGACCAGCGTACAGCTGGTGTGTTGGTGTGCTGCTGTTGCTGCTGCTGCATAATCCGTGAACGGATTTTGACCTAGTATTTAAAAGCACTTTAACAAATTACCGCCTGCCAATTACAAGGTATTTCCAAATCAAAACAGACACGTTTGGTGCTATTTAAATGCCATTCAGGCATTTCAAATTTTGTGGTCAAGTGTAAATCCGATGCTTTAATTGAAACGCAGCAGACGTAAAGCGACAAGCGCTGATGAAATAAATATTGCAGCCATATATGAAAATATGTAGGTGTTGAAATTAAAAACACACACGAGAAAAAACAACCCCAACCAACCAGACCAATAATAACAATTATTAAAAGCAATGGAACACAAATTGAAAATAATAAAGCCAACGACTCGCACCAACTTCGGTGCCGTAATAACAAATCGTTGAGTTACAGTGGTGAGATTTGTAAATACTGCAATTAAATATTGAATATATTCAAATATAACGAGGATGTCATATAAACAACATATTCAGACTAACCCTGCCTCACTTTTACTTTAAAAACAAGTAACAATTACCTAGGATGTACCCTGAAGCTAGTCCAAGCTGCAATTTCGAACCTAGAAGCTTTTATTATGCTCACATATATGCTTGTTTTTACCCCTGTAATAGAGTAAGATTGAAATAATGAAAATAGAAAAACGTAAATTTTTCATGCACGACAGATGCTTTTCCGCGTCTACACAATATTTTATTATGTTAGTCAATGCATATACAATTTATTTATTTGAAAATAGGAACTGTGCTCCATCAGGATTAGACACAGACTCAACAGTAACAGGATTATTTTTTAGCTCCCGCCTTTTTTGACCCGACCTACAAATTTAGAGAATTTATACTGCTTAAAGCAATACTGAATTTGTCAGTTCCGATTTGCCACGCTCCTAGTGGGCGTGGACATATATTTATATGGTTCTCTGGTTCTGAACTATAAAAATACAGTATTTACCACGTCCCCCATAACCGTCAAATATTTATTGGTTTATTAACATGTGTATGCATTTCAAAGTCAAGTCGGGGAAGTCTAGGCAAGGGTACTTATGAGTATATATACCAAATTTCAAGTCACTAGACAGATGGACGGACAGACGGATGGACAGTAAGACGGAAAGTACATAAAACCAATATGTCATATATGAAATGAGCCTTTCACTTGGCTGAATGCGAAAAATATAATTATATAATATTTTACACAATATTTAAAATAACTTATTATTTCATATCTAATTGGGTAAATTGTCTCTCTTATGCATTAATATATTTGATATGCTCTGCCTTTGATACATCATTTCCTCAATCATTTTTTTAAATAATATTAATATTATACTGAGATAAGTGAAGTCGGAAAACGGCACAAAAACAAACAAAACAGAATGAACGGCTTCTTTATCACACGGGTCACGCCTACCACCGCCGCTACTTCATTGATTATGCCAGATCCGAAAATAAACTTGCAGCTGACAATTCCATCAGAATTCATCTGCAATCGACGTTTCTCTAATTGAGAAAAATAAATGTATGAGTTTGTGTATACAATTATATAGAGAACTGGCGCTGCTAATCACAAAATTTT